GATAGGAGGAGGAGGAGCAGGAGCAGGAGCAGGAGCAGGAGGAGCAGGAGCAGGAGCAGGAGCAGGAGCAGGAGCAGGAGCAGGAGGAGCAGGAGGAGCAGGAGCAGGAGCAGGAGCAGGAGCAGGAGCAGGAGCAGGAGGAGCAGGAGGAGCAGGAGGAGGAAGCGAGTAGTTCTTCGCATATTCCCCTTCCTCGTCAAAGCATGAGCGGCCAAGCAATTTTTTGAACATCGACTAGGGATCACCGGTGGTATCTAGGTCATTTTAGGGGGTGTGGCATGCCTCTGGGGTGGTACCGATGGTCAGGAAATGGGTGGCTAAAATGTGGGGGTAATTAAAGGGAAAATGAGGGGTAGTCGTTGAGAAGAGGGGGTGGAGGGAGCCGTTGACGATGGTGGAGGGGAGTGGAACTGTGGAAGGGGAAGCGACAGGACAGGCAGGACAGCTGGCATGCACATGTGGACATGGAACATGAAGACACGAACAGATCAAGGACACAGACAGGATGCAAGATAGCATGTGAGGAGGAAGCAGAAGGTGCAGGAAGTACGAGGAAGTCAGTGGCGAGAGCAGGTCTGCCATGTACAGAAGTCTGCTGCGCAGCTTCCTAGGGACAAGCAAGAGGACGAAAACCAAAGATGCAAGTTATAAGGATAGGGGTACGGTGAGAGCATGGATCAGCAAGCAAGGGCGTCAGCAGTCTCACCCTTCTTCACAGCGATTGTGTTCGGCGTAAGAGAAATGCTGACTTCTGTTGGGTCAGGATGAACACCTACAACCGGTCCAAGGGGATGGACAATCGCATGAACATGCTCTTCAACCAAGAGCTGAACAACGAGGCTCAGTACATCAACGCCCATCCTTTCTCGGCCGTCAACATGTCGCTGGTCATCATGCTGCTGGAGCCGTGTGAGACTTTGACCTCTTGAGCAGGGAGGTGAAGTCAGATACATCGCGCCTGTCTGGCCGTGGAATGCACCGAAGTTTCAGGTAGAGATGCTCTTCCTCTCCCTTCCTCTCCCTTCACCTCACCACTCTCTCCTCTTCCCCCCACTATCTCCCCCTTCACCATTTACACCCATTCATACGATGTCCTGAAAATCCTTCCCACAGGCCATCGACTGGAGGACGCAGCCTCCTCCGAGGAGGATACCAGGCAACACCAAGCACGACCCGGTCGCTCCTCTCTGCCAGGCGTGAGGTGCATATTGATACAGACGCAGGGCAAGTTGTACGAGCTGCCAAGAACATGGCAGGAGACCACAGACAGCTGCTGGCAGGACCAACAGAAACCTCCTCCCACCTTCCCTCACACTCGGACGAGCTCCAGCGAGCAGCTTCACCGCGACGAGGTCATCATGACAGCTGCAGCATCGCGTGCGAGACTGGAGACAGGGAGGAGCAGCAGGAGGGACCAGGACGAGGCCCCTCCCCTCTCTGACCGCGAGAACGTCGAGGCGAACCGACCGGGATCTACTTACGTAGGAAACCCTTGTGTCAACCTCCTGTGACCCCCCGTCTTTGCTCTTGCCTCCTCCCTCCCTCCCTCCCCTCCCTCCCTCCCTCCCTCCTGATCTCACTGATTCAGAATCAGCAGAGTGAAGAGAGCGGGCAGGAGCGGTCCAACATTGCCGTCTTCCAGCAGGATGCGATGCAGGCAAATGCTGAGGCTCAGCTGGAAGGAGCCGGGAGGAGCGAAGGCGGCACTGCGCAAGGAAGTCGTCCTCCTTCTCAGTTCACTCGCAGCTCGCTCTCTACCTCCAGCACGATGCGCTCCCGATCCGAGGCGAGCAAGCATCCTCTTACCCCCGCAGAGAAGTTCAGCCGGCCTCCGACGCATGCCAGCAGCAGGTCCTCCAGAGCGAGCAGCGTCATGTCCTCCAGAGCGAGCAGCCGGCCTCCCACTCAGAGGAGCGAAGCATCCTCTGCTCACGACCGGCCTCCCTCTCACGGCATGAGGAGCTCGCATGGAGGGGAGGAGAGGAGCGCGCAAGCTAGGCCAGTGGAAGCCCTGCGGCTGAACCTTCCGGTCTCTCTGCTGCCAGGGAGAGAGAGTGAGTCAGGATGCCGGCCGAGCAGGCGCCTTACTTGTTGCAGGTCGAGCTTCCACCCGCCGGTCCACAGGGTCTCGCAACTCCTCCGCCCGCATCGCAGCGCAAGGGTGAGCAGACGCTTCTGGAGTCCTGCTTCTGACTCTCCTCAGCGTTCTCAACGGCGAGTGAAGATAGGATCGCAGTCTTCTTCTCGATCACTCGGTCTGAACTCGTCGGGCAAGAGAGTCGCTCACCTTGCTGAATCTGAGGATGAGAGCGATGGGAACTCTGTAAATAAGAAGAAGAAACTGGTGGAGTGGGTGTACAAAGAGACAGGCAAGAAACTTGTTATGGTTATTCGGTACTTTCATGGAAAAATCCCATCGAAACAATATATCATTTCATCAGGTGCTCGACTTGATTCATGCGGATATCACGAACTTTGTTCTACATTTTACATTCTTTCATCATCTTGCAAGGCAGAGAGCTGCTTGTTGAGCTCGGCGATCTGCTTCATCGTCGACGAGATCTCCTGGTCCTTCTCCATGCCGTTCCCGTCGTCATGTGGGTACAAGTCTTGCGGGGGCCTCTGACGGCTGGCGTGCTCTGAGCCGCGAGAGTGGCGCATGTCATGTGGGCGGTTGCTGGACTTGCTGAAGCGAGGAAAGTCGTGCTCCTCGTCGTAGTTGTATCCCGCTGGTCCCTCCCTGCTCTTCGACGGTCGGATCTGAGGAGGAGGCTCAGAGTATCTGACGCTCCTGAGCTCATCGAGCCAGACGTCTCGCTTGTCCACCCCCAGCTGGAACTTGAGCAGGGCGAAGCCGTACACAGACTTGGCGGCGACGTCCATGATGACAGTCATCACGTGGGCTGCCAGCTGGGAGATGGCTCCGAACTCGGTGAGAAGCCAGAGGGCCGGGTAGCCGCACCAGATGCTGAAGTAGAGGGTGAGGGAGAGCTTGAGAGGCGCTCGAATCTTCTTCGCGTCCTCGTTGAGAAACTGCTGGAACCGCGCGTAGACGAGGCGGATGATGCTGATCCACGTGAAGGCAAAGATGAAGCAGCCGAACATGAACCAGAGGTACCGCGCAGGAGGCTCGAACGCGTTGCAGAAGACTCCGCATGCGATGGTCAACCCGACGAAGAGAGAGTAGGTGATCTTGTAGGGGAGGTTGAGCGACCACAGCAGATCCAGCGTCTGATGCAAGGCAAGCACGTCAGTCGCGGCCATCCAGAAGCAGCGAGGAGAAGCGAGGAGCAGGAGCAAGGAGCAGGAGGAGCAAGGAGGAAGGAAGGAGAGTACATACCAGGATAGGACAGGTGAAGATGTAGTCCAGGTACTTGAAGTAGTTGACAGACAGAGAAAGGCCCATGTCATTGTTGAAGTGAGCGCAGATACGGCCCCAGTAGGTGATGGCAGCGATGAGGTTGACGTAGATGGAGAGGCACTTCTCTTCCCGGTAGCCGACGAAGAACTCTTGGTCGCCATCGGGGCCCTTGAACGACATGAGCTTGTACATGAGGGCGAGAGAAGCACCAAGAAGACAAAGAAATCCCAGCCAATCCACAGCAATCACGGTCGGGTCGTGAAGATTGAAGTTTGGAAGGCGAGGATTGTTCCATCCTCCCATGCCATATTGCCAATTGGGATCGGAGAGTGAAGGGGCAGACGTCGCCATAATTACGAGACGGCGAAAAGGTTGACTAGGAAAAGCAGAAGTAAGAACAAAGCTACTCGTCAATGCATGAGTCGTATTACAACTTTTCCCAAGTTCTCTACAGGCCATCTTCTCTGCAGGTCATCTACCTCCGTGAATGACTCCTGCTACTCCATATGTTCTATCCTCACAATCGTTTTCGTTCACTTATACTCCTGCACCTCAGACCTCTTCATTGTGTCATCATCATCATGACAAATACAGTTTTGACAGCAGACTCTTCGTAAGCCAGCAACAACCTCTGTCTAGTTCTATCTCGACAACCCCAGCATCAAGCTGTTCCATGCAACGCTCCACACTAGAACATGATCAAAGGCGAGCACACAACTTGGTTGCTAGGAGGCGACGATGCTACCAAGAGGAGAAAACATCTCCTATTCAAGGTCGACATCTGTACAATGACAATCACTGGATCAAACTGTGAGTCTCTTCCGCCCCTGATGAATCATTTAGATGAGGACGAGCCACGAAGCCTCGAGGAGCAAGCAAGACCGCTTTCTCCGGCGGCATGATCGTCTGCTCTGCGAGACCGCGAACGTAGTAGCGCGAGCATGGCAGATGCAAACAGAGGAATCAAGGGGTAGGGCCATCAATGACCCCTCCTTCCCTCTTGTTTGCAGGGGGTGGTATGTACCGCCGGCACAAATTAGTACACGGGGGGGGGGTACCGATGTACTGATAGAGAAAATGGTAACGACTATGGGGTCCTAGGGCACCACCGGTCCTGAGGTCTGTAACCGTTTTTTTTCCTAAAAGGAGGGGGTAGTGGGGAAGATGGGGCCCGGCCTCCTTACCTGTACCTTGTTCCGAGGGTTATCATTACCGGTACTTATGACAGGTAAAATGAGGGGTAGTCTAAGAGAAATATCCTTTATCAGAAATAATGACCGGTGGTGGCCCCACTCGAGGCTTCCCTACCGCCCCCCCACCCCCGCTACGCGTATAATGAACAAGGGGGGGACCCCCTCAGTCACTCGCATCATGAAAATGGTCCAGAAGGAGACACCCTGGGGGTAGGGGTGAAGTCTCTATGATGGACTACCCCTGTCTTGATATGAGAAATATTGGACCTTGGTACCGGTCATATGGTGGAAACGGGGGCATACCCTCAGGGGTGGTCTTCAAGTGACTCACCGCAGATCTAGAGGGGGTGGGTCGTAACGTGTGTACGGCCATCTGACCGGGTCACGGCCGCTTGGCAATGAAGGGGACCGTGAATAGTACGTGTGGTACCTTGCGACTGTACTGAGGTAGGGCTCTGGTACCACCGACGGGAACGGTAGTAGTAGTGACGTTAGCCTGAGTGACCGTACACTACTGATGAGTCGCCGGTCAGCGGGGGGGGGGGGGGGGAGCAGAGGCCCGGCGGGCCTTTTGAACGAGCCGGTACTAACTTGTAACCTAACTCAGTTGAGTAAAACTTGACTTGTAACTCGGGTCCGGATCCCATCGGATACATTCAAGCCCTTAGAGGGCCAACCCCCTTGGCAAGGGAAGTTGGGGCTGGTGGTGAATGACTGATGATTTCACTTAACTTTGAGTTGGGATGGTGAAGTAAGTTTGTAGTACTCCCGGTCCCGGTCGGCCGGGCCGCGGCCGCCCGGCCCGTATTCTTTTTTTTTGTGAAGTATTTTTTTTCTTTTACAGATGTTTTCATTTCTTAGGTTTCGGTGAAGGGACTTTTCAAGGCCCTGAGGAGGGTAGGGGTACCACCCCATGGGTGATGTGGACCCCACCGCGGGGTGGAAGATATACTGAATACCCCTTCTATACCCGTATTCTCGTGGGGTAGTACAACCCTCCCATGAGACGCATTCAAAGATGCGTCTTTCGATTCATCAGAAGTGAGGGTCATCGGGCACGAAATGGTAGGGTAGGGTAGGGTAGGGTAGGGTATGGGAATCAATTGCATAAAATGAGGCTATCAAAGAGGGGTCAGTAAGGGTAAAATTAGGGGTGGATGACAATTGACTCATCAAAGGAGGGGTGGGTCCCCCTTGGGTGAGATGAAGGTGGGGGTGGCAGGGGGGTGGCAGCGCGACTCCGGCGAACAACAATGTGTGCACCAGCGTCCAAGTTGGCGGATCTCAACAAGCTGATCATGAACCCCGAGGGCAGGTGAGACTGAGGGAGACGAGGATGCTCGAGGAAGGTGCTGCCTAGCTCGAGACAGAGTGAATCGTAGCATGGAGGGGGAGGATCGATGTCCGAGGGTTCCATTTCCTGCATGCATGTTGGATCCGTTCGGGAATGTTCGACCGTGGGAGCGACGGATTGCTACTTTACCTGCACTTGATTGATGAGACCTATCATGAACTACTTCTGAAACATCGTAGAAGTTAGGGAGAGGCAGAAGTTGCTGTAGGACATGAGACGTGGACTCCCTTTGTTGACTGCGGCAAAGTCGCATGTTTGGAAGGGGTGCCAGCCTACAACTTGTCCCCATGTAGTTGAACAACATGTAGTGAAGTGAACAATGTGATCCATACTTGTTTGTGTCTTGTTTGCTTCTTCTCAATCTTGATCTCTCTCATTGTTCGCCTGAACCTGCTGCGCAGCGATACTATCCTGCTCGAGTTCGGAAATTACATGAACTGAGGGCAGTGGAGGTTCAACACGGGAAGAATTGATTTCTTGATAAAGAGACTGTTCGAATCTGGATTTTCCATCCAGCTCAGCTTTATTGAGGACCTTGGATCGCGAGATTCTGTGCGACTCGCAAGCCTTGATGGGAAGGAGATAGCGTTTCATCAAGACATGCAGCACAACAGGAATATTCCAAACCTGAGGCACAACACCGAGAGCATGCTTGTTGCTGCTATGAAAGCTTACGGTAAGGCATAGTAAGGTTGAAGCGCACAAAGGCATTCCACAGCGAACAACACTCTTAAGACTCTGTCAACATGACGCAAAGAACCGAAACCTGTACTTGCAGGAGGCTTTTTGCCGAGATTGTCGATCTCTCTGGATTATCAAGAACTCTTTCCCGTGTGAGCTTGATGATATCAGGACTGGAGGCAAAATGACAGCGGATTCTGAGGAAGAACTTGTGGGATCTCTAGACATTAAACATGGATTCTTGTGTATGTGTGTGTGTGTGTGTGTTTGTTTTGTTTGCGCAGGGAACCGCGTTCACAGAGTTCATTCGAATTCCTGATAATGCTTTCTCACTCTTCTCCGAACGTCCCAGGTACACTCCAGACCTTTCGGAAAGACCGCGTAGGTACCCGGAACGAGTCGAACTGCCCGTCGACCATCCCGTGGGGTCACAATCGCCTCTCCCTGTGAGGTCAGCAGTGTGACACAGCAGCAAAGACAAGAAGCAGGACCTCGAGCACGTAGATAGCTTCATTCTTGTCGTAAGCGTATTCAAACTGAGCTGTAGGCATCTCGTCGCTCGACCATATGTCACAGGATTTGACGCCCTGGTCAAGTGAGACAAGACTACCCATGCACACTGTTCTTCACCTTCTTAGTCAGGAAATCTGCAGGCGGGTTTTCCAGAACTTCGATCTCGGTCAATGAAGCACTCTTACCATACGCCTTGCCTTGGAACATGCTGTAGGACATTCCTAGGGCGGTAAACATCTTGACTAACTCACGCCTTGAATTCCAAGCGCGCGAATCTGCATGCTGTTGCATAGAAAGTGTCGAGGGACGGGAGACGCGGAATTGCCCTCGGACCATCCGAGGGATTCGGGAGAGCCCTCCATGATTCGCCGTGGGAGGGAGGTAAGCAGCAACAGAGCACAAGCCGACCAGGAGGAGAGCTGCCACGAGCAGCGTCAGGGCACCAGGAGATCTATGAGGAGGGATCAGATCCCTCCTCATATCGTCACGATGTGATCGTCTTCCTGCTCCTCTCCCACCTCCTCACCCGCCCTTGCGCATGTCCTCACCTGCCCCCCGCCTGACCGTCGGCATGGAAGTTGAACACAGCAGCTCCGAGCCTCAAAGCTAGTCAGGATGTGTGTACCTGACCCGCCTCGGAAACTCTCGTCGTGGTCGG